CATCCATCCATCCATCCATCTGTCCATTCATCCATCCATCCATTCATCCATCCATTCATCCATCCATACATCTATCCATCCATCCATCCATTCATCCATCCATATATCCATCTGTCCATCCATCCATCCAGCCATCCATTCATTCATCTATCCATAAATTCATCCGTCCATCCATCCATCCATCCATCCATCCATCCGTCCAGCCATCCATTCATCCATCCATCCATTCATCCATCCATCTGTCCATCCATCTGTCCATTCATACATCCATCCATCTGTCCACACATCCATCCATTCATCCATCCGTCCATTCATACATCCATCCATCTGTCCATCCATCCATCCATCCATCCATCCATCTGTCCATTCATCCATCCATCCATTCATTCATCCATCCATATATCCATCCATCCATCCATCCAGTCCAGAGCTGCTGGCTCTCCAGCGTTCCTCCACCTTCACCAGCTGAGTGAAGCGAGCGCGCACGGGAGGACTCGCTGTTGCAGTTCTTTGAAATTTAAAGAGTCAGTCAAAAATTGCGTTATGAATAATAAAAAAAAATGTATATAAGTCGCAGGACTGAAAAATCTATGGAAAAAAACCTGTGAGTTATACACTGGAAAATATGTCGGCAACACTTCGGACCCGAGCAACGAACAGCTGTAACAGTGAGAGGTTATGATGAAACAACAGCTGGTTCTGAGCTCAAAGGACGAGGCTGAAGGTCACCATTAGATGATCTGATCTTTGGACCCTCAGGGGCCACTGCATTAAAACCAGGTCTGATTCTGGTCTGGGTTCTGGAACACTTCCACAGATGATTGTCTGTAAACACAGTTCATCCACATATGCTGCTCAAAGCTCTATCAGACAAAGAAGGAGCCAGATGTGAACACCATCCAGAACCACTGCCGTCTTCTCTGGACCAGAGCTCGTTTCAAAAGGACTGAGGTGAAGTCCAGAACTTTTCTGAGGTCAGACGGATCCAAATCTGGAATTCTGTTTGTAAACCACAGAATAAGGAGGAGAGGGACCATCCAGCCTGTTATCAGCACAGTTCAAACACCTGCCTCTCTGATGGTATGAGGGTGCATTACTGCCTCTGGCAGAAAAGTAATTACAGGTTTTAGAAAAACATCTGCTCCCAACAAGTGGTTTCCTCAGGTTCTCCAAAACCTGCATCAACTGGTATTTTCAGGTCCTCCAGAAACTCGATCAGCTGGTCTTCTCTGGTCCTCCAAAACCTTCAAAAATTGGTCTTCTCAAATTCAAAATGACCGTAGTTTATCACAGATTTTGAACAATTCAGTAGATTTTTTATTCTAGTTGTAGTTTTTGTGTCTAACTCGTAAACTAAACTGTAAATAAATGAGTTTTCGTGACAGAAATGTGAAATAGTTTTAGGATTTTTACGTCGGTGGCTCTTGGACCTCCAGCATTTAAATGTGGACTTTAAAACTCAAAGTGAAGACATGACTGATGCGATGAAATACGACGTTTTAACCGAGCGTTCGTTTGGAAGTGGAAACTTGTTATTTACGCAGGATCCTGTTCAGCGATTTAATTCATGTTAAAACGCATCTGAAAAGGAAATGTTTGTTTTAAATACCTCTGCCGGTCGTAGGAGTGAAAGTTGGAGTCCGGTCTCAGACAGGTGGTGCTGGCACTCCTCACTCTGTCCAACGACGGCTGCAGGTCGCTGCAGCGCCGCCCAACGGCAGCGGGAGGCGGACGGAAAGCCGGACGCCGGCGACGAAGAACGATAAGAGGAGGAGAGAAGGAGAGAAAACACAAAAAGGTGAAAAAGAGAACAGGAAGTAACTGCTCTCACAAACGAACACTGAGAGGCACTGTAATAGGAGGCTGGTTGGTTACCATAGGAACCAGGTCTGAGAGAGGGTGAGTTTATATCTGTCAGGTCCTGACTAATCGCTGGATAAACGTATGGTGGTTGAGCTGCGGCGGGTCAGACAGGAGAAGAAGGAAGAACCGGGTCTGTTCTTACCTAACCGTGACCTCGTCAGTGAACCTGAGCACACGGTGCGTGAGGATGCTGCGGGGCAAGGTGGCGCCCCCCTCCATCCTGTGAGGCGGCTTGCCTTTGAGGCATGCGGGGAGGGTGGAGCTGTGGACCACAGGCCACGCCCACAAACAGCAGCATGCAAACGAAGGCAAAGGAAAACCAAATGATACGTGCAGGTGACAGTAAGACGGGAGGAAAACATGAAATAAAAAGTGATTTATGGTGTACAGCTCAACTAAAACATTGGACTTGGTAAAAATAAATAAATAAATAATTAAAAAAAAACGTTGCTGCCATAATTACTGGAAACACAACACACAAACACTGAAGCCTGAATCCCACTGATCTGAAACTGGTGGAGACTGGTGGAATCCCAATTTCCTGGCTTGAGCCGCAGAGACTCGCAGTCCTATTGCTTTAACTTTAAATTTGTTAAAAAATAATTTGCATCAAAATTTCTCTCAGTTCTCTCAGAGTTTTTGCAGATATCTCGACAGAAAACGGGTCCAGATCTTAAAATCATCCATTACCATTAGTGGGCACAATGACAAAAAAAAAGCTTTGCTAGCCCGTATTCCACAAACCCAAAAATTAGCTTAGCTAACACTACACAGGTTAACAAGTTAGTGGAAGGTAACGCTAAACCGCTAACTGGTAAGACGACTGTCACTCAGTCTGCGTCACACGTCTTCGTCTCCTTCCAGTTGAAGCTGCGTCGACCAATCACGTCTTGTCACGTGTACAGTCAGCCAATATCGTGCCTAATGGACTCTTCGAGACACGCCCACAACAGACGGGAACAAGCTTGTCAATTTTGTTAGCGGACCTAAAGTTGGCAAAACCTAATTTAGCGGAAGCTAATTCCACTAACGGTTTCCAAAGCTAGTAAAACGATAATCCGGTAAACAAACAATTAGTTCCGTTATTAGCGGATTAGCACAACTGTGCCTATGACTACACAAAAATAAAAATGATTGGAAAACTGGTCCAAGTCTGCCTCTCTGGTCTACTAAAGTGGTCTCCAACAGACTGAGCCATAAACGTGGGCGGCTAAAGAGGTGGTATGAACCACATGAAATTACATGTATGTTGTGATTTTAAAAAAAGCAAGGCTTCATGGACTCAGACACTCAAAATGTTTCTGTTTTCCAGCTATTTGGTCATTGGCTTTTCTCCAACAGTTGCAGCTTAATGAGATACCACCTTTAGACCTGGATCTCATTGGGTTCTTTTAAAGACCCAAGAATAAAAATGGAAAAACATCAAACAAACTTTGGCCGCAGCTAATACACAAAAAGGTCACAAGCAGCTAAAGTAGGCAGCAGACGCAAGTAGTTAACACAGGAAGCAAACACGAAGTGCTAAAAAAGCAGCTAACAAAAGAAGCTATCAGAAGCAGCAAACAAAAACAGATAACAAAAACAGATAACTCTGGCACAACAATTTCCTGTGGGATCGATAAAGTTCTTATCTTGTCTTATCTTAATATAAACAGATAACAAAAGAAGCTAACTAAAGTAACTAATACAAGATGCTAACAAAAACAACTAACAAAAGCAGCTACCAGAAGCAGCTAACAAAAGCAGATAACACAAGCAACTAACACATGTGGCTAATAGCAAAAGCTAACAAAAGCAGCTAACAAAGGTTGTTAACGCAAACAGCAAATGAGGAATCTAACACAAGCAGCTAAATGAGAAAGCTAACACAAGCAGCTAAATGAGGACGCTAAC